TCCGGGTATGTCGATTTCTCGGACGCTGGAAGCTCTGCTGGTGGTTGCTGCTTCTGTGACTCACGTCCATCCCTTGGTCGGTCTCTCCACCCAGGATAACAACGGGGTGATCGGTTTGCTGGAGCCCATGAAGACGAGCTCCATTCCGGTGCTGCTCCAGCTCAGTGCACCCGTCGATAAAATTGTCTCAGGTGAGCAAGGTCCTGGGGCGCGCGCGGGTCAGGCTGGTGCACGAGGCTGTTGCCACCCCCGGGAGGAGGTGAGGGTCCAGAAGGTCTGTGTCCTTTTCCTCCCTCTTGGCTGCTCCGAGCCAGGTACAAGGGTGTGCTTGCTCTCCTCTGGCTCTCGAGAAAGCAGACCTTATGTCTCCTTTAGCCCCAACAATATTGTTAATATTTGGCCCAATCTGATGTAAAAATGCCTTAAAAGAGTGCCCTAACCGTGACCCTGCGGGGTCAAAGCGCTCGCCCTCTTCTAGACTTGGGGAAGCTGAGCAGAGCAGCTGGGGAACTTGTCCAGAGCCCAGGTGAGGTTGGGGAGGACGTGTTCCCCTAAACCTTCCCAGAGGAACTTGTTTGGAGTTTCAGATGGGGAACTGGGATCAGGAAGAGGGAGATCCTGGTGGTTTAAGTTGTGTCAGAAGCTGGCATCAAGGTATCCCCACTGAATTCTAGACAGCTGGCGTTTTTACTCGCGGGATCTCAGCCCCTGGATCTTGCTGGGTTCCTGGAGCATGACTCTTGCTTCATTCCTCTCCCCCATCTCCTCCCAGGGAATGACCACTTGGTGATGCTGACGGTGGACGGTGACCTCTTCACGTGCGGCTGCGGCGAGCAGGGCCAGCTGGGGAGAGTGCCAGCGCTCTTCGCCAACCGAGGAGGAAGGAAGGGGCTGCGTGAGTCGCTCTGGTGCTCGGAGGCACGCGCTGCTGCGTCCTTCGGCCCAGCTCTGAGCTTTGCAGAGAAGCAAAGGGACCCAGTCCCTTCCCCTGCTCTCAAGGGCTTGCGTGTAAATTGGTTGCTTGGATTCAGAGAGCTGGATCTAAGGGGGAAGGAAAAAAGTGTAAATTGTTAATCCTTGTATGACACCTTGTCTCCTGTCCCCAGAGCGCCTGCTGGTCCCCCAGCGCGTCCCTGTCAAAGGCAAAGGCAACAGAGGCAAAATGCGTTTCCAGGACGCCTTTTGTGGGGCTTACTTCACCTTCGCCATCACGCAGGAGGGACACATCTATGGCTTTGGCCTCTCCAACTACCACCAGCTGGGTGAGCTTCGCTTACGGCCCTCCAGACCTCCTGCCTGCTTTGGTCTAGCTGCAGACTCCCCGGTCCCGTGCTGTGCTGGCCTTATTCAGGGATGCTGCTGGGCACCCCGAATCCTGAATGCCAAGCCCCCGACAGACCCACTGGAGCTGGAAATTGGGGTGGGAGGGGTCGCCCTGCATAGCTCTGGGTTTAGGTCCCAGCCTCTGCAGCTGGTGGGTTTGAGCAGAAATGTGATTTTTGGGGCTTGGGAGGGCTGTGTTGGTCTCTAGTGGATGGCTCAGTGCTGGTGCCGGGCCCACGGACCTGATCTGCCTGGGTTTGTGCGTCCCACCCTGCAGGGACCCAGGGCACCGAGCCCTGCTTCTCCCCGCAGAACCTGACGTGCTTCAAGAACTCCACCAAGTCCTGGGTCGGGTTCTCTGGCGGGCAGCACCACACGGTGTGCGTCGACTCGGAGGGTGAGCACCAGCATGACGGGCGGGCTGGGAGGCACACAAAGCGGGACGGGACAGGACTCCTGTGGCCCTCTTCCTGCTTGGGGAGGTGTTGGGGTGAGGGTGATGTGGTGGAGCCCTGCAAGTCCTCAGTGCTCAAGGCAACAAGGGTGGCATGAATTTGCAGCAAAGGGCAGGGAGGACAAGAGGAACCCGGAGTCACTTGTGAACTCTGCTCTTGCAGATGCAACAGTCTGTCTAGGCATTTGCCCACCCTATTGATTTTTGGGGAACTCCGGGGTCTCTATCCTGCCTTGCACCTCCTGGTTGGGATCTAGGGTAGTGGTAGGGAGGAGTGATGCTCCTCCGGAGTCAGACTGGGGGTAAAGGGTCTGGGTATGGCCTGCTGCAGGCTTCTGCCCGCCTCGGGTCACCTCTGCTGTGTGTCTGTCATGCCGCAGGTAAAGCCTACAGCCTGGGCAGGGCAGAGTACGGCCGGCTGGGCCTCGGAGCAGGGGCGGAGGAGAAGAGCACGCCCACGGTCATCCCAGAGCTCCCCAGCATCTCCTCCGTCGCGTGCGGCGCATCGGTCGGCTACGCTGTCAGCAGTGATGGTGAGTGCCGGGGGCCTCTGTGGGCTCAGGAACGCCACTCTGTGTACCCTCCCCACCCCTCATCCATCCATCGTGGCCCCCCTGGATCCAGCCAACCCCACGCAGCTTCACTGCATGCTGCTGGGTCGGGACTGGAGCCAGGTCCTGGTGCTGATCCACCACCTGGTCTGGGGACAGCTGGGTAGCAGCTGCTCAAATATTTTTGTGGGCCCTTGGCAGCAGGGTTCATAAGAGGGTGTTGACCAGGAGGGGGTCGTTGACCTGCTGGTCCCTTCTCTGCACCCTGAACTCCGCTGCTGCGAGACCTCCGTGCTCCGGTGCTGTGCATGCCTGTGTGCAGCCCGTGGCTGTGGGAAGGAGGGTTGGTTGTGGGCTGCTGGATTTGGTTTGCTCCCTGGAGGCAAAACACTGCCTTAGCTGGGTGATGGAACGCCTCCTTTTGAGTTCGCCAAGCGCTGCTCCTCTTCCCCCTGCCCGCCACCCTGGCACCCATCGCTCATCCCCCTGCCCGCGTGCCAAGTCCCCTTGGCTTTGGCTGCCAGGTCCCCTTCCCACCCCATTGTGCAGCCACTCCGATGTCAAAACTTCCATCACCTCTGTTGTAGGACGAGCGTTCGCCTGGGGCATGGGCACCAACTACCAGCTGGGCACAGGGGAGGAGGATGACGTCTGGAGCCCCGTGGAGATGACGGGCAAGCAACTGGAAAACCGCACGGTCCTGGCCGTGTCCAGTGGTGGGCAACACACCGTGCTGCTGGTCAAGGACAAGGAGCAGAGTTGATGAAGCGACGCCGCGTAGCTGAGCCCAGTGGGATCGCGGGACCCGCACACACACCCCCACCTTCTGCCCGGGTCAGGCGACCGGTTTCCAGCTCTGGTCTCCCACTGGCGGCAGTGGGGAGGGCAGGAGACTCCCGGAGCTGGGCCCCGGCAGCATCTGCGTGGCTGGAGCAGGGCTCTTCAGGGATGCTCATGTTTTCTCCCTGCAAGCGTGTGTCGGTCTTCCCGTGGTGCCCGGTGCTCTGTCATCTCCCCCGGTTCGGTTCGGTCCTAAACTGAGCTCAGTACTGTGGCTGGATGGGTTTTCCGCTTCTTCTCGTTTGGTTTGGTTTTATTTTTAATATTTCCTGGCCTGGCAAAGCTGAGGGCCTTGTTCTTCACTACACAGAAGGGTTTGGGCATCGGGCTTTCTGAGGTCCTTGCGTTCCCCATCTCTGGGTGCTCCTCCATCCCCTTGACGTAAACATCTACCTTTTCCACTTGGATTTGTCTGCTGCCACCCACCGAACCCCTCTGGGCTCGTTCCGGGTGAGATCTCGGGCCAGCAGAAACGCTCCCGAGGAGCTCTGTCCTGGCACCCAGCGCTGGAGGCTGCGGTAGGTCGGGCTTTCTGAGGTCCTTGCGTTCCCCATCTCTGGGTGCTCCTCCATCCCCTTGACGTAAACATCTACCTTTTCCACTTGGATTTGTCTGCTGCCACCCACCGAACCCCTCTGGGCTCGTTCCGGGTGAGATCTCGGGCCAGCAGAAACGCTCCCGAGGAGCTCTGTCCTGGCACCCAGCGCTGGAGGCTGCGGTAGGGGCTATCCTGCCTCCCACCCATCACTGCTTATGGGTCTGAGCCGAAATCCCCCAGGCAGCGAGGCCAGGAGCAGGCTCCCCTGCTCCCTCCTGCCTGGAGCAGCCACCCCCAGTGCTACTTTTTCCAGTCGCAGCCACTTCTCATTCCCATTGCCTTCAGAAACCCAACCAAATCCATCCCACGGGTGGAGACTTAGTGTTATTTTAATTTTTTCTCTTTCCTTTGCTGAGGAAAGAGCTTTATTTGCTGTTAGGGCCTCACTGAGAAGACAACCAAAACCCAGCTGTGCATTGGATCGCTCGAAAAAACGGGACTCCCTCCTCCCCATTGCCTCTAGTTTCGGTCCAACTGGTCCTGCTGCCTGCACCTGGCCTGGCCCATCTTCTCTTTCCGTGCTGCCTTCCAGGTATCCGGACTGAGAAGGAGGTCTGCGAAGATTAAATTTTATACATTAAGTTATAGGAATAGGGGGAAGCGAGGGGTGTGTGTGGGGTGGGGGGCTGGGACTTGTACAATGGCTCAGAATAGGTTGAATTTTTTTAAAAAGCAAATGTAAAGTATTTTGGTTGATTGAGGAAGAGAGGAAAAAAACCTGTAATCTTTTAACGTTTGGAATAAACTGAGTTTTGATAACCCCTGGGTTTTCCTGTGGTTTGGAGGGGTGGGCAGCCCCGCGCTGGGATCACGGCTGAGGATGGTAGGGCCAGAAAGGGGCTGCTCATGTCCCCTCCTGCCATCTCTGCCCAAACCCTGTCCCCACCGGAGCCACAGCTGCCAGCTGAGCTTTGGCACCTGCATCGAGGGGAGCCCCGGGCTGAGCAGAGGCTCAGCACCCTTCAGCTTATGCTCAGGGTGGGAGATGGGGATGGACTGAGGACACCATGGCCTCCTGCCCCCCCTGGACACGGGGCTGCTGTGGGCACAGCGACGTGGGACCAGTTCTCTGGGGACAGGTTGAGATGGGTGCCTATGTTGTCGGGGTGCAGGAGCACCCTTGGGTGCTGCCATGGTCCCAGCCTTGTCCGGTGCTGTATGGATGTACATGTGCAGTTGTGGGATATGGCCGCGGGATGGCAGCAGGAGAAGGTGCTGGCACCGCTGGACCACTGGACTGGGGAAGGTGGGGCCCGGAGAAGGGATGGTCCCCGTGGGACCCTTCTTGTCTCCATGAGACCCCTATTCCTGGCGTATTCGGACCTCCAGAGACATGGCTGATCTCAGCGGCACGGCTGGAAGGTGTCTTGGCATGTCCCTGCCACGGGCTGGGCACTCACGGTGGCTCCGTCGGGGCTGAGCTGGACACATGTGTGGTTTGGCACAGAGACTGGCACCGTCAGAGCAAATTTCTGCATCCTGGTGTGACCGGAGCCTCTGGTGTGTTTATTCTTAATTAATTTAGAAGAGTGAAGGTTCCTGAATGAGCCTGCAGCCAGGGGTGGGTTTTGGGCAGGTGGTTGGTGGGTTGGGAGCAGCTCGAGGCGATCTCTTGCCTCCACTGCTCCTGTGGTTTTTGGGCTTGGGAATGACGAGCTTTGACTTTGCAATTAGGGATGACGGGCTCAGCAGAGAGCAGGTGGGTTGGTGGGTTGGGAGCAGCTCGAGGCGACCTCTTGCCTCCACTGCTCCTGTGGTTTTTGGGCTTGGGAATGACGAGCTTTGACTTTGCAATTAGGGATGACGGGCTCAGCAGAGAGCAGGTG